ATTAAATAACTAGTTGATGAAGTAAATTTCAAAATGAAATATGAACGATTACTGATTTAAACAATACTTATGGCTCAGCCTCTATTTCCACATACTCTTACTAAATGGTTTAGTGTGGGGTTTGGCCACTGATATTCTTAGACTTTTCTTTTAAGCACAAGTATGTCTAAAAGGCAGCCAGGATGAGCACTGCTAAAGTCTTATAAGTAGCTAAAGGCATGTCATAATATCTACTTCATGAAGATATTTTAAGTCTATCTGTGCTACCCACATATAATAAAACTGGCCAGGAACAGACCACAGTTGCCTTTAAGGTAGTAATCTAGTTCTTATTTCAAATAAGTATACATAGCATAAATTAAATTGTTTTAATGCCCATTTATCAGAATAGCAGTTACACAAACAAACTCTAATTCCCAACCTTTCATCTAAAACATTCCAATATCTATTCTTCTTTAAATAATACGGCATTTCTACAAATGGGTAGGATTAATTTCTAAAAATTAAGGTAGCATTTATTAAAACTTCCATTTTAAGACTCAGAAAGATCATTCTCCTTTAACTACTTCCATCATACTTTGGAAATAAAAGTATCTTTTAAATAATTTTTCACTTTATCTCAAATTATAAGTAGTGGAAAGAAATAATTTATGAACAAAATGCACTTCACTAAGTTACTTTCTCACAACCAAGCCAAGCCTGGGCTTTTTATTCCTGTAAGCAGTTACCGTCCCAGAAATCCACAGGAGAGTCACTATGAGTCAGCACGGACTCAATGGCAGTGAATAGGTTAACCAAGCCAATCATTTGGGAACACTGGTTTAAAATGTTTAAAGTTTCCTAATACACAGCGGGAAGGAAAAAAGGAAGAAGGAAGCAGGACTGAAAGGAAGTAAGCAAAAGAAAAGGAATGAGGGAGTCATGTATAACTAACAGAATAAGGATACTGCTAATCAATGGGGCAAAAATAGCAAATATATTGAAAAGAAAAGGAGGTAAGCTTAGAATTTGTCAAATTGGCAGGAATGTGTTATATTTAGATATCATACCAGTTCTCTTTCTTTTAATGTTGTATCAATAGGAATGATACACTGTTCACTAGTGCCATTCTTGGAAAATATGAATATATGTTGCAATATAGTCAAGTTCCTTACACTCTCAGAGTTCAAAATTTTGTTTGAAAAATTATACTTACTCATATGACATTGAATTGATGGCAGTGAGTTGCTTTTCTTTACCTTCATATAAAATTATTAGACTATAAAAGGGCTCCAGAATATGTGGCACAAATATGAACTGCAAGAGGATTTCAGAGAAGTCAGTGTGCACATGAACCTGAGAATGGGTTGGTAAGAGGAGTAGTAGTAAGGAATTGCCACAAGGCAAAGCAGAGCTTGAGCTGAAGCCTGAAGGGAGAACAGAAGGATAACTGTGTGTGCATAAATTACCGGAAAAATGCAAGAAACAGGTATTAGAAGTGAGGCAACCATTTAAGAAGAATTTTGTAGATTTACCTATTTGGAAAGAAAATATGACATAGTATAAAGCTCTGGGAAGGCTGTGGTGGAACAGTGACTATGTATTGGACTACTACTGCAAGGTCAGCAGTTCGAAACCACCACAAGCTGCTCTTGCAGGAGAAAGATGGGGCTTTCTACTCCCATAAAGAATTACACTCTCAGAAACTTATAGGGGAAGTTGTATCCTGCCTATGGAGAGTCTCAATTAGTCAAAATCGACTGATGGCAATGAGTTTGTGAGTTTGATTTGGAAAAGCTCTGGTGTCAGGCTATCTCCATTCCACCACTTCTTTGAGACTATGAGCAAGTTATTTAGGAGATCTAAACCTAGACTAGCAGTAGACCTGGTGCCATAGTGGTTACACATTAGGCTGCTAACAATAAGGTGAGCAGTTTGAAACCACCAGTCACTCCACAGAAGAAATATGAGGCTTTCTACATTATAAGGAGTCTTGGAACCCACAGCAGCAGTTCTTTCTACCCGACCCTACAAAGTCTGAATCAAAGGCAGTCAGAGAGACCTGTAGACTTCCTTATCTTTAAGGTAGAATTGTTACGCATATTCAAGATGTTAGAGCCTAATTGCTAAAGAGCCTTGGTAGTGCTGTGGATTCTGTGCTGGGCTGTTCAAACACAAGATCTTGTTTCAAAGTTGTTCTGCCAGAGAAAGATTGGTCTGTCTGCTCCTATAGAGATTTACAGTCTTGGAAACCTTATACAGGGACACTATGAGTCAGAATCAAGCCAATGGCAGTGGGTTTGAGTTTATTATTACTGTTAATGCTATTTAAACTGCTCAACACAAACTATGTAGGTACTACAAAATGATAATACACACAGCCATCCAGTCATTGCTGACTCACAGTGAACCCTGTGGGTTTCTGAGACTGCAACTTTTACCAGAGTTGAAAGCCCAGACTCTCACAAAGCGGCTAGCAGCTTCATCCTGCTGACCATGCTGATATTAGCCCAACACATAACCACTACACCACAGGGGTTCACAAAATAATTATGGCAAAAAAGAATCAGATTGGTCAACTGTATTTTTAAAATTTGTCAAATCCCCTCAGAAGGGTCACAAAGAAGAGACAAGCCAGTCAGGGTACAGTATAGCACTGACGAAACACAACTTTCCTTTAATTCTTCCTCCCTACCACTATCATGATCCCAATTCTACCTTACAAATCCAGCTAGATCAGAGCATGTACACTGGTACAGATAAGAGTTCAAAACACAGGGAATCTAGGGCAGATAAACCTCTCAGGACCAATCATGAGAGTAGCGATACCAGAAGGGGAAGGGGAAGGTGGGGGGAGATAGGGAAGACAATGGTCTACATATAACCCCCTCCCAGGGCGACAAACAACAGAAAAGTGGGTGAAGGGAGACAGTGGTGGGTGTAAGACTTGAAAAAAGTAATATCTATAAATTATCAAGGGTTTGTGTGTGTGGGGGGGGAAATGAGCTGATATCAAGAGTTCAAGTAGAAAGAAAATGTTGATGGCAACATATGTACAAATGTGCTTGATACAATGGATGGGTGGATGGATTGTGATAAGAGCTGTAAGAGCCCCAATAAAATGATTTTTTTATTTTAATAAACTAAATGTTAACTTCAAAAGAATAAATAAAATACCCCCCAAAAGTTGTTTACAAATAAACCTTGAAAATAAAGCAGATGACTACATATTCTTATATTTCATTTGGACACTACTACTTACAGGCACCGTGTGTCAATCAATCGTGTTGAGGGCCTTCCCCTTTTGCACTGACCCTTTGCTTTACCAACCACGTCTTCTCCAAGGACTGGTCCTCTGGATAACAGAGCCAACATACAGGAGATTCCTCACTTCTAAGGAGTATTCTAACTGTATTTCTTCCATGACACATTTGTTTGTTCGTTTGGCTATCTATGGTGTATGTTCAATACTCTTCGTCAATACCACAACTCATATGTGTTCCTTCAGTCTTCCTTACTCATTGTCCAGGTTTTCCATGGATATGAGAAGACTAAAAATTCCACGGTTTGATTTAGGCACACCTAAATCCTCTAAGTGACATACTTATTCTTTAAGACTTTAAAGAAAGTCTTTTATAGATTTGTCACATGAAATACACTGTTCAGTTGCTTGACTACTGTTTCCATAGTAGCCCAAGTGAAATTAAATCCATGGCAACTTCAATACTTTCTTCATTTATAATGATTTGACTAGTTCACTTATGAGAATTTTCTTTTCTTTACTAATTCTAATCTATAAGTGGGTCAAGTACTCCTCCCTTTCAGCAAGCAAGGTTATGTCACCTACATATCACAGGGTAGCCAATGAGCCTCCCTCCAACCCTCATTTTGTCAGCCAGGAAGGCCACTGCCTGATGGTTTCCTGATTTTGCTGTCTTTGCGGCCATTGTTTCTCTGACAGTTTCTCACCATTGCAGCTCCAGTCGTACATCGTGCTGTCTCCCAGGAGGTACGCAGGCTACGGATCCCAGCTCTAAAGAAGGCACTCTCTCCCTCGCCTCCCTCCTTTTGGCCTATGGGATGGCTTATTTTAAGCCTAAAATGATGACAAAATTGACCAATCCTCTCATAATCTGCATGGTCAAGCCCACTACCCCAAGTATTTAGATTACTTACCAAACTACTGTTGGCATGCTAGCCATAAGGCAGGTGGTTCAAAGCCACTAGTCTTTCCACAGAAGAAAGATCAGGCTGTCTGCTCCCCTAAAGATCAATAAAGCCTCAAAAATCCTCTATAGGATCACTATGAGGAGATCAGAATTGATTTGATGGCAGTGAGTTTGGTTTACATTTTGAGATCTGTATTAGAACCTAAATTCTGAGCATGCCATTTACAAAAGTTTATGGATGACAATGAAAGCCGCAAGTTCATCTGCGGAGTCCCCCTGTGGACTAAGCCTCCACTGAATTCCTTCTGCCCACTAATCAGGATGTGAATAGTCTTGCCCTTATGCAAAGTGCATTAGAAAATGAATTACCTCCCCTCCCTCACCCCAGCCAGTCCAGGGAGGGCAGTCTCCCTTATGAGCGTGGCTAGGTGTCCTTGATGAAGATCACCTTATGGGATGGGTGGTTGCATAGTCATGAGTCATGCTCTATCAGTCTTGCCTTCACTGCCTTGATCAAAAGGTCCTGTACTTATTTTCTAAGTTCTTCTGTCTAACACAATGTACATGCCTCAATCATGATTCCATTCCAGCTTCTATAGTCCCATCTGTAACTGTGATGTTTTGATCTGCCACCAACCATAAACTCTCCTTTGCCCTCCCATTTCCTTTTAAACTTCTGTATCTCAACAAACCTTTGAATGCCATTAAGACCACATGTTAATGGTTTTCCTAATCAGGATGCCATGTCTTTGTTTTAAGACTTAAAAAATGTTCTACTTAAATTAGATTTGAGATTTGGGGTCTTTTTTATACCCTAAAATAGGTCTAATCCCCTTGGTGGGCAATAAGTACTTTATTTGGACAGTTTTACCCAAACATTTGAGGGAGTTACAAGACCACAGCTTAAAAAACCACAGAAAAGTGATCCATTACACCCTACTCTTGGTCTCTTCTAATGACTATCTTGGTATAAGTGTAAGTCAAACAGTATTACTACTAGGGTTCCAATTCATACATATATGGAGTCACTCCAAATAAAGCATGTTTAAACTTATCTCTGCAATCAGTGGGTGACTTCAGACAAACTTTCTCAGTAATACACTTGTCTCAGTCTCATCGGGGTGCCGTAAAGACATACAATTTGCTTCTGAAGGTCTGTTGGTCCAGGTAATTCAAAGCAGAAATGTCATCTCGGAAGACTATGATAATTTTGTTTTGGTTTGGTTTTTTGGTTTGAGGAGTGAGGGAGCTCTCCATAGAGGCAATCTTAATAGTCTAGAACAGGGGTCCTCAAACTTTTTAAACAGGGGGCCAGTTCACTGTCCCTCAGACCCGTTAGAGGACTGGACTATAGTTAAAAAAAAAACTATGAACAAATTCCTATGCACACTGCACATATGTTATTTTGAAGTAAAAAACCAAAACGGGGCAAAAACACCCAGGCCGCATGTGGCCCGTGGGCCACAGGCTGAGGATGCCTCGTCTAGAAGAATATGGAATGACCATGGGGACTTATTAGGAAGCAATTTCACGCGGCCAGCATCACAATGTAAATGCATTCATTCCTTTTGGTCTCCATTATTTAATATCCAACTTTCACATGCATATGAGGCACTAATAACAGGCATATCTTGGTCCTCAATGTAACATCCTTGCTTTTCAAGTCTTCAGAAGTCTTGTGCAAATTTACCCAATGCAATGCCTCATTTGATCTCCTAACTGCTACTTCTATGAGTCTTGATTGTGGATCCAAGGAAGAAAAATTCCTTGACAACTTCAACCTTTTCTCCATTTATCATGATGTTATCTTTTGGACCAGTGTGAGTACTTTGGTCTTGTTTACACTGAGTTGTAATCCATACTAAAGACTGCAGTCCTTGATCTTTATCAGCAAGTGCTTTAAGTCCTTCTCACTTTCAGCAAGCAAGGTTTGAATTTTCTGCATATTCCAGGTTATTAATAAGCCTTACTGTGATCCTGATGCCACAATCTTCTTCATATAATCCAGCTTCTCTGAGGATATGCCCAGCATACAGAAAAGTGTGATGAGAAGTTATGCTAGCATTTGAAATACCAATGACATAGCTTCCAGAATCATAGCTTCCAGCATCACACCTATACACAAGCCATCACAGTATAACAAACTGAAGCAAGTGGTAGAAAAGATATTATATATCACTCTAATCTCCTTTCAACTCATGATTGGCTGATCATATTAGATCACATCACAGGAGAGGTTTGAATTATTATATACCTACTAAATCACTCAGAAGTATGGCTTACCCAAGTAGACACCTATGTTGGAGAGGACACACAATTTAATCCATAACACATTTCAATTCTCTTATTAATCAAATAACCATTGATAATTTTTTTAATCTAGGTTTTATTTCATATTCATAGTACTGACTTAAGAAATGATAAGATAGAGCAAAATTATATAATGTGGTGAAAGGGTAACAAAGTATCTCTTACTCTATTATTCATACCTTAGTTTGAAAATGAATTCTGTTTCCTTCCTTCCACATCTCAGTTTGCACAGTTTGACCTGGATATACTGGTTTTGCAAAACGCACCTTTAAAATAAAATGAGAGTTTGGGTTCAAAATACTGTAAAGTGAAACTCTTTAAAGGGGAAGGCGAGAGGGTAGGGAGAGAAAGCAACAACGGGGGAAAACAACATATAAATTTAAATGAATTTTAAGTCAAACAACAAAACAGACCAATCTTCTACTATTCTCATAAATGTTATGTTTGAGCTCATTGTCGCAGTCACTATTTTATACCATATCATAGGTCTTCTTTTTCAATTACCAAGAATATATTTTCCCATGGACTGCTCTATCCTAATAACATATCCAAAGTATATTATCATACTGTGTTATCACTTCCAAGGAGCATTCTTGTATACTACTTCCAAAATATTTATTTGTTCTGGTAGTTCACAGTATTTTCAACATTCTTTTCCAACATCATAATTCAAATGCATTCTTCCTTGCTCACTGTCCAACTTTCCCATGCAAATGGGGTCGCTGAATATACTATGGCTTGGGTGAGGTGCACCTTAGTCCTCAAATTCACATCCATGCTCTTCAACACTTTTAAACAGGTCTAGTGCAACAGATTGTGTCCAATGCAATACATTACTTGATTTCTTAATTGTTGCTTCTTTAAGCACTGATTGTAGACCTAAGTAAAATTAAATCCTTGATAGC